CTTTCGGACCCCAACCTGGAAGGCGAGAGACAACTACTCTACCTAATGGTTCTGTGCATTTCCTCATGCCTCGTCTCCACNTAGCTACAGCGAATAAAGCGCGGTACGGCAGACGATGGCTGGGCATTCGCAATACCCTAGCAATGCCCTAGCCGCCGAAGCCTAGTAATCTGAATTCGGTATGCTAGCAGGTTTATGCCTGACTGACTCCCAAACACGACGGCTTACCTCCACGTTACTAACCCGTTCGCTCCATCCAACATGGGCTAAACTGCGTAAACACCGATAATCGAAAACTTCCAGTCGACGGATATCTTCTACTCGCAAATCCCAATGCATTTCTTCGACTGAACACGGTAGATTGCGCGTGCGTAAAAAATGCACCATTCGCGTTATTCCGGGGTGACAATGAATCGTGCAGGTCTCGCAGTTTTGTGTTGTTAAAATTGAAAGCACAAGTACTGCGGGACAGCGTGTCAGCGACTTGTTTATTTTTTCCGGTTCTGTAGATTATATCGTAGTGAAAGGCAGATAATTCGAGTCGCCACCTCTGGATTTTATCGTTTTTGATTTTAGTTGTCTGTCGTCGGTCACACATGAAGTCTGCGAAACGTTGATCGGTGATGAGTTTGGAGTGAGTGCCAAGAAGATAGTGTCTCCACTTGCGTAGGGCTTCCACAATCGCGAACGCTTCCTTCTCTACTGCAGATTGATGTTTTTCGCTAGGAGTCAGAATGTATGAGAAAAAGGCTACCTATCGGTTATTCTGACTAAGTGAGGTGGCTATTGCGACATCCGATGTGTCCGTCTCAACAATCAGCGGAAGATTGTAGTCTACGCAACAATCAGCGTTTTCCAAATCGGACTTAAGGTTTTCGATGTGTGTCCAACAGTCGTCGATAATGGGAATGTTTTATTCTTAATTAGATGACGATTTTTATGTGAAAAACGGAATATTCACTGCGAATAGTAGGCAAACATACCGATGAATCGTCGAAAGGATTTTGCATCCGTCGAGGGAGGAGGGGGTATATCGTGTAACGGTTTTATTCGGTCGGAGTCCGGTTTGATTACACCTTGGGATATGCGGTAGCCAAGAAGATCGATTTCTTTAGCGGAAGTGACCGTTTTATCAATGTTTAATGTTATACCGTACTTGGCGGCAGTCTTCAGAAATCGTTCGAGCTCCCGGTCGTGGTCTTTCATAGTCATATCACATACGGTGACGTTGTCAATGTAGGCGAAAGTATCTTTTAGGCCTTCGGTTGCTGGAATTTCATCAATGGTGCGTTGGAACAACGCAACGCCATTGGTAACGCCGAAGGGTTTTCGGCAGAACTGGTATAGCTGGCCGCCTGCTTCAAAGGCGGTATATGGTCTCTCATGCTGTGCGATTGGAATCTGCTAATATGCAATCTTTAGATCCAGCTAACTACTATCGCACTAAGAAGTGTCGTTCAGCGCTGGACAACCATTCAAAACGCAATAGACTCGGCCAGCTTACACAGTTGTTGCCTGGATCACACTGGATTTCCTCTCAAACTTCTTGATACGCATCGAGCAATCCCGGCAGACGACAAGTCTAGTAAACAGCACATCTGTGAACCTTGAACTAACAAAGAGCTTGAGAGACAACCGGCAAGGCTGGTAGGCGCAACGTGCAAAGTAGATGACATCGGCAGCTAGGTATGGAAACACCCGGAAACTGTTCCAACTCCTCTGTGGTACGGACCCCAAAAGACGGCGTTAGTGAAACAATCTACGAAGTAGACGGCACCCCAATAGACAGTCTTCATCGACGATTGAAACGCTAGGTAGAGCACTTCACTTCTATATACTCGATAAAATAAAAACGGAATTAAAATGTCATTGTTATAACTCTGTTTGATAACCGTGAAAACCAATGTCCATTTTCCATCTCATATTCGCTGCACGCATAAAATGTTATTTTTCTTTATTCATTCTGTAGGACGATATCTGCGTTTACTTTGGCTGACAGTCTCTCTTCACGTGTTTTTCGCTCTCCTTTTCCGGTCCAGTGAGTTCAGTTAAATGCAGGCTATAAAAAAGGTGAGCGAAAGATTTGTATCTAAACTCCTCTCCTGTTGTTCAGAGCACCTATTTAACCGGACTGGCTGTTTCGAAGAATCCTCATGCGGTATGATTGAGTAGTTTGTCTTGTCTTTACCCACGCTCAAAATCTAGGTTCTCAAATCCCTGTACAATCGCATACTCAAGGTTGTTAGTTTGATGCCAGAAGACTCTGGGTACAGGAAACATACAACTGAAATTGTTCGGGCTAGACTCCAGGCTGTCTCTTCGGTAGGTGTCAAATTTACCTTTATTTGATCTAACTTCAAAGATATCGGATATCAACAAGCTGGAGAAAACCATTGATTGTGGACAGATCGAGGAAGTTATCGTGCAGGTTCGTTACCCGATGTTTGTAATTATTCGTTGTTTGTGTGTTTTCTCTGTTACTCTAATGTTGTTGCGTTGGCTGTATGTATGTAAAGCACTGAAATTCACAGTTTGGATGCGAGTCAACGAAACTATCTGCAATAAAATGGGATAAGCTGTTCACAATTAGAAACAAAGACGTGATCGCTGACCGGAATGCTCTAAGGATCAATTTAAGTGCCTCCGGCCTAACCGGATTACTTCATCTTTTGAATTTGAACCTCATAGAGCAGTTTCAAGCAGTCCTCTAACGTACATAGGGAACGATTTTGCCTGAAATCTCTGAACAGAGGAATATCAGTTGAACCTGACGGGCTTCCTCCAACTGTTTTTTATTACACTTCATGTGGATTACATTGAAGGGGGGAATCCCCATGGACAAACAGCATACTGTGAAACGGAGAGTAGGGGACCATTCAAGTAAGATCCAGTTTATTTATTCTGTGTTTAAAAAGTGTCAGATTGTAAGTTAGGGGAAAATACTAAGTGGGAGGATGTTTCACAGCTTGGCAGTTTGGGGGAAAAAGAAGATTAAAGCAGAGCAGTACGGCATCTGGGAACAGAAATCTGATAAGAATGACTAGATGGTTGTGTACGGGAAGGGCGGGTAAAAGTTTCAGGAAGATAAACTGCCGAGGCATGTTCTGAGGAACAAAACCAAAGTAGTAGAGGTAGAACAGGGACAATGA